CACTAAGGAGTGGTCCCTAAAAATTGGACAAACTTTAACTGTAATAACTCGATAAGTATTAGATACTCTTCGTTAAAATTGAGATAATATATTCAATAAGGACAGATAATGAGTCTTGTTTTTCAGCATTCAGCAACTTTGCTTAATTTTGGCCGAAAAGGCCGTTCGAAGAACGCGGCTTCAAAATTTTTTAGTTCATCTCTCAGGAGAGCTCAAAATTTTTTTTTTGCACACATTTTCAGTTATTTTGACCTGAACCATGTTCGCTCAAACCTGTTATACCCATATTAGTTTTTTTCATAATTTTATCAACCTTTAATCAGCGAATTCTGAGTTTCAAAAGTAATTGTGAACACTATTTTGCTTATAGCTTGATCTCTAGCTTCATAGGGATTTGACAAAACTGAACTATTAAATTGCACTTATCATCTAATCAAAGTCAATTTTTTCTATTTAATCAAACATTCTGATAAAAAAAATTATATCTTTGGAAAGAGCATGAAATGCTCGTTAATTAGCGCTATAGAATCCTTTATTCGAAGAATTCTAACATATTTGAAATTTGATTCAAAATTTGTCCAACTTTTTAGGGACCACTCCTTATTAACACTTTATTCAAAGTTGACTTATTATTTTAACAAGAAAATAACTTTTTGTGCAAACTCATTTTTATGAGTAAAGTTGACTTGATCTTAATAAACATTCAGTAAACTTAGCTTGGACTAAAAGACACTTGAAGTCCAACCGACTAAGTCACCAAGTTTACATTAAATCATTGGGTTATTTAGCATTATTATTGTGACAAATTAGTTTGATAGCAAACAAATTTATTAAATACCGTGATGATGGTTTGAGCTGGAAAAGCCGATTCTATACTGTTATACTGTATTCTATGAATAAGAACAATTTGTTACAGTTTTTCAACACATGTACACGTTTCATGATTAAATTATCTAATTAAATGAAATTTAATTAAATTGAATCTCAAATCGCATAGAGCATTTTCAAGGCACAAAAATTTTATAAAAGCCTGAAATACGTTAAACAATGTAAAATACTTGGCAATCATTTATTCATGTTAAGAAATACTAGTAAAAATTCGAAAATTTTACTAACGTTGAGAATCGTTTATTTTATTACTTTGAACTCAAATTGTCAATAGGTTAATAAGATGAGTTAGTCTAAAATAAGATTCCTAAGAAATAAAACAATAAGGAGTGAAAGAAATTAAATATTAAATTGTTTTTCAACATTAATCAATTTTTAACACAGTTCTTGATAATCAACTAATGCACAGAGAATCATGCATAATGATGAATTTAATTGATCATAAAAGAAAAATATAAACCAGAAAACTCATTTTCAATAAATACCATTGATCAATATTAACCAATAGACACTCCTTTCGTGATGATTAAAGAAATTCAAATTTATAGCTTTTGCAGTTCATTTAAAAGGGAAAAACATTTATTCAAATGAATTCAGTAAATTGCAGCATTTTTGACTTTAACTTACCAACTCGCGAAGCAAAATGAAACAAAATTTTGCTAAATCTCGCGTGGTGTTGTTGCTTTCCGATTTGTGGAAATTTGTTCAACTGATATTTCGCCAACAGTTGAATGATCATGATTTTGAGCAGCTCGCACTTGGTGCTACTGAAACGTTGGAACATCAAACTGTGTTTTACTTTGCACTGAGACTGGGTTTCGATCAAAGTGTCGAGAAACTTGAAGAAATGAAACGACAATTTGACTTGAAGAATTGGGTGGTTCGATTTTTCATATTGATCAACCTTTCAAGAGCCTTTTTTGTTTTTAGTGCCGAAGGTGACACAGCAATATATTTGGGTGATCCACTGTTTGCATCCAAAGACAGAGATGTTCTGAAGATTGTTGTCGTTGTTGGCACAGCCGTCATGTACTTCGCTCATGAAGGTATAATGTTGGTTGAAAGACAAGGTGGGTTTGTTGGTGCAGCAATCAGAATAAAAGATTTACTAAAAAAAGGATTTTCCCACTTTCCATTCGTCGAGCCTCAACAAAAAGACTTTAATCGCACTTGTTATTACATTAGTTTATTTTGGAACTTTATTTGCCCAATGACCGTTCTTTACGTAACGATACTCTACAACTATGAGCTCGTCATTAACCTTTACAATCATTTTTCCTTGAAAACACTCTTCTTTGAGGTTGCATGGACCTTAACATTGACACCTTTAGTTGCGCTTTTAGCAACTCAACTGATTTGTGTAGCCGCGATCCTTTGTCTCTATGCTACTGTTCATCATTTTCACATGGAATCTCTAATAAATGCAACCTCACTACTTCTCAAATCACTTGACAAGCCTTACAATAGTGACATTAGATTCATTACCAGACATGCGACAGTGTTGTTCAACGAGTTGGATTTAAATTTTAGAAAAGTTCGCTTCATGGTTTTTTATTTTTACACTGGAGTAGCTCTTCAATCGCTTTGGTTTATACAGTTTGCCATTATCATTGGAAATCATTCCATTGTAATGGATGGTCTTATTGCTTGCCTCGGAATCAACATTATTGGTTATACTTTAGTGATTAGTCTCGTTTGTGCCAGATTAACCAACAAGGTTTAGTTGTGATTTAAATGGCTTTTTGAGTAAAATGTTTCAAGTTAATTTTTTTGTCTCCTTTCATCGTTTAGGTTGGAAGGCTCTATCCAATGTGGCATCAAGTATATCTTAAAAGTGAAGCTAAAATAAACATGAAATTAAAAGTAAATTGAAGTTTGTGAAACAATATTATTCCAAAGTTATATATTAATTGAATATTAAAATGAATGTTTATCATTGCAGATAATCGAAATCTTGAACAGAACAACGCTGCCAACGACTGGCTTCCAGATTGGCGATTTTGGGGTAATAACGACAGATTTTGTGTTAATTGTGAGTATTTAATAATGACATTTTCATTTGCTAACTTTCTATTTTTCATTAGTTTCTCCTAGAGTTTATATCAATGATGATGATGTTGAGTTGTAATTTCGGATCATTTTTTTGAGCTTCATTAATAAGTCAAGTGTTTCAACTAACCATATTTAATTGGATTGTAATCCGTCATCATCACCATCATTTTGGAAACATTATCATCTAAAACCAATAATAAACTAACAATAAAAATGCTAATAATGCTTTTAGCTCAATTAATTGATTCCGAAATCTCAAATGATTTATTCAAATGTAATTGATCTGGAATTGGCTTGATCCATCAACGAATAAAATTTACATCTTCAAAATCGATATCTACCTCAAAACTAAAATCCAATCAATGACTGAAAATTTCAACGTTTTATCCATAATATTGTCAATATTATCATAAACGATATTCATCTGATTTGTCAAGAAATGTCTTGACTCAGAGTGGCAACTTTGGCCTCGAAGCGGACTCAACTATTAACAGTTTATTCAAAGTTGACTTATTATTGTAACAAGAAAATAACTTTTTGTGTAAACTCATTTTTATGAGTAAAGTTGACTTGATCTTAATAAACATTCAGTA